GTAAGGAGGTAAGAAAAAAGGACCAACTAATGATCGCCAAAAATACCAGCCCAAACATTTAATTTTTGTGGCTGCTGTGTATGAACCTCATGATAAATTCTGAGATTAGAATCGGACCAATATCGGCAGTTATGACGATTTACTACGCCATTTAAGAAAAAGAAACATTCGTCGGAAAAGCAAGTGTTGAATAGAAAATGTTCATCGTTTATAATTCGTTTTTCGGTAAGCTCAAGGACATACGTTTTTCAGTTGTGTCTCTGTCTCAAAAACTTTCTCGTTACGCATGAGTGCTGTTCAATCATATTTGTCAGAGTGACAGCTTCCTTGACATCGGAAGAGAATGAAAACAACGGTCCCCCGTTACCCACCTTCATGCGTAATGGAGAGAGTAGCAGATGCGCTGAAGATTAAGACCCGCCCATGGTACGGAGACTCAATCTGTTTACTTATTTCATATGGCGTTGATGACGTAACCGCCAGGAACGTTGACTACAATTTATTTCTTTACTGCTACTGCAGTCGGGTTTCTTATTTTTTATTTTTTATAAAAGTATGTTGAAATCTGGTTTCAGACTGATCGTACTTTTACAGTGATCTCAATACACAAATACCCATAATATGTTAATTTTCTGTATCACTAACGGAAACACGTGCTCGGTGAATCACGAACGCTTCAACAATCCATATTCTTCACGCAACATTTTGCACATATTGTATGCTTTTATGCACTTTATGGTCATCGTTAATTGCAACTGATTAATATTCGTACGTGTTAGAGATCGTTAGATTATAATTATCTAATTAAAGAAATTTAATTGAGGAATGAAGAAACCGTCTAGGAAACACTGATAATCTGGTATCGCCTTCCTGTATAATAAAACGGAAAATGAAAAAAGATGAATCACCGTTAAGATGGTTTTTGAACTAGCGCGTTACTCAACAAAACTAAGAGAGGAAATTTTTCGGTGGAAAATGGTCGTATCTAAGCTTAAAAAAAAGCATTTTGAAGCTTTAAGATTCTAGTTTTTAGCTTTTTTGGCCGACGCATTTTAGGAGCAACGATTCTCATGAAATTCTAACAAATACCGCAAGAAAAATATACTAAGTGACATATAAATCCGAACACCCAGTTTAAATGGTTTTATTTTAATAAAAGTTGGTGAATGTAGTTATCTTACTGTAAATAACAAGTGAAAAAATTTTCAGCCTTATCAGTTGGACATTCCGGTTTTTATACTGCTTTTTTTTAATTCACTAACGCTCTAAAAATGAATATTTCAGCCGCAGTAAAGAATCAACGTTGGCAGATTTTGGTTCTTGACATCCTTTACGATCGGTTACGATGCCTAGAGTACGGAGACCTGTACGATTTCGTCAACTTAGTGAGTTTGATAGGGGCCGTATAGTGGGACTTCGGGAAGCTGGACTTTCTTTTCGGGCAATTGCAGTTAGAGTGCAAAGAAGTGTAGACACTGTGGTTAGGTGTTGTCAGGCATGGCTTCGAGAAGGCCGTACGCAAAGAGCAAGGGGCACTGGACGCCGCCGTAGAACAACAGACCGTGAAGATCGCCGCCTAAGATTATTGACCTTAAGGGACCGTTTCTCCACTACCAGGTCCATTGCAAATGAATGGTTTGCAGAACACGGAAGACCTATTGGCATGCGAAGTGTTTACCGACGAATGAGAAGTTTTGGCTTGTTTTCATACCGGCCACACTGGGTCCTCCCTTTAACTCGAGAACACCGACGTAATCGCCTTGAGTGGTGCAGACAACGGTCACTCTGGGATCAGGAATGGAACAGTATTGTCTTTAGTGACGAGTCTCGATTTTGTTTAGGCATGCACGATGGTCGTGCCAGGGTTAGAAGGCGACGTGGTGAAAGGAGGAATCCACAGTTTTTTGTTGAAAGACATGTTCATCACACTGTTGGAGTTATGGTTTGGGGTGCGATAGCTTATGGTTCCAGGTCACCTTTAATCTTCATCAGAGGTAACATGAACGCGCAGCGTTATATCCACGAAGTTCTAGAACCCCATCTTTTACCCTGGCAGATCCAACTTTCCAACAAGATAATGCCCGACCACATGTTGCAAGAGTCACAATAGACTTCTTTCAACATAATGATGTCACATTGTTACCATGGCCACCAAGATTTCCCGACTTATCCCCAATTGAGCACGTGTGGGATATGATGGGTAGGAGATTGCTCAATTTGCAACGTCCTCCTCAGACTCTAGAAGCACTTCGAGAGGAGTTGGTGGTTGCCTGGAATGAGATACCACAGGAGGACATTGACCACCTGATCAGAAGCATGCCTAGGCGCGTTGTAGAATGCGTAGCACATCAGGGTGCATCCACACATTATTAAAGGTCAAAGGGCTTTAAAGCAGTGCAATCATTTTGAAATTCTTATCATTTACTTAAATTGATGTGTACGAGCGTATTCCCAAAAATATACCAGGAGAGTCACAAATGGAGACGCGACCTTTTCGTTTGACCACCCTGTATATAGTTCACCATGCTACATAACCTCGAATACAGGCAAAAATAGCTATTTTTGTACTTTTAGGTTACGATATCTCGGATGTTCGAGCCAATTGAGATATTTGGACCACGGATTCGGATTCAGTGCATCAAAAACCTCCGGGGAAAGTTTATTCTGGTTCCTGGGTAAGAGGATCGGCTCACTGTTGTCGGTCCGCGTAATCGACAAAAAGCATTTAGCGTAAAAAAATCTAAGTAGTCCACGAGACGAAGGCACTGACCTTCACCAAAAATACCGCACATCTGCACCGTTCCAATTGCTATTCAACCAGATAAAACCGAAACCGAGACAGACGCCGGCATTGCGTTAGATAATCGGGCTCGCAAGCTTAAAATAACCTGACACGCACAGCTAAAACGAACTAAAACCATCACGCACTCACAACTACATACTTTGTTATAGTCGCCTAATCACACCTCGGCGATCACTGAAATCCTGAAAGATCTTCGAAGGCGTCCGGTGCGGAAAAACGAAGAGCAAAACACCACCCGCAAACTAGAGTACAGATCCGTCGGGCGATCGGATTCGATCAAAATAACCCGCCCCCACTTTTCAACACAGCATCACACTAGCAACAGACTTACGTTCAGCTCGATTCATGAGAAAATCCAGAAACGCGTCCATGGCTGGAAGATGACGGCGTAGAGACAGAGTCGGGTCTGACAGATGGACCGCCGGTGCTCGCCCAGAAAACGCTTGGACCGCGGCCAGAGGAAAATTGGCGCCAGATTTAACCGCCGTACAGCCATCTATCGATTTGTTTCTAAAATGGCCGCGAGTAGTTCGACTCAATACTTGATGCCTGCACTTCACTAATGCCAAGTTATTTAGACTCACGAGAACATACAGGATGACTTTGAAGTTAAGTCATTAATTTTAACAGTGAGTAGATCTGATCAAAAGAAATGTTTTTTTCTTTACCATTTTTCTGCTAAAATTAAAGTAACAAAGTTATATAGCCCTTTGGAAGTTTGAGTACCGCCCTGTCTCAATAATAATATTATGTGCTCGTGTTTGGCAACAACGGATATAATCCGCCTTATCGGTTCATCGCATCGGAAACAAAAAAGCGAAAGAATTTGGAACGATGTTTTTACAATTATTTTATTCACTTGTATACAGTCAGTGTCAGTCGGTAACGCGTGAGTGAATAGTGGTGTCTGTTGCGTGGCTCAAACGAAATCAAAAATGGCACATGTTTACGAAACTTTACACTGCAGCCCAGGATCGCATCATTGAAATATTGAATTTTTGTGTCCAGGTCAACTTTGAAGTTGAGTCATTAATTTTCAGATAATGATTGTAGAAGGAAGATAAACCAAAATATGTGTGTAAAAATAAAAAAAAATTAAAAAATGTTACCTTGTTTTATAAAGTATCCTCCCGACAAGTATTTCAGTGCGGACCTGCATTTGATCGTGCGGTCTTGGAGCACCGGCATGCCGTCCCCTATGAGGTCTTAAGTCACCTGATTCACGAGCCCTTTGTACTACATTAACAAAGGCACGAGGGGTTGGTTGCACTCGATTGGGAAACCGATCCGCATAAATCCGTGATACCGCGTAAATAAGAATCATGTCCAAAAGTTCAGCATTTTCGTAAACATGTGCCATTTTTGATTTCGTTTGAGCCACGCAACAGACACCACTATTCACTCACGCGTTACCGACTGACACTGACTGTATACAACTGAATAAAATAATTGTAAAAACATCGTTCCAAATTCTTTCGCTTTTTTGTTTCCGATGCGATGAACCGATAAGGCGGATTATATCCGTTGTCGCCAAACACGAGCACATAATATTATTATTGAGACAGGGCGGTACTCAAACTTCCAAAGGGCCAGAACTTTGTTACTTTAATTTTACCAGAAAAATGGTAAAGGAAAAAAACATTTCTTTTGATCAGATCTACACACTGTTAAAATAAATGACTCAACTTTGAAGTCACCCTGTATAATATCGGACTTCTATCACTAAATATTCCTGTTGTTACCGGTATCGGAAGCTTCTCAATGATAGAACGTCTAATTTCAAAGACGAAACATTTACAATTCCCAAGTTTCAGAACCGCCAAAAATTTTTCCGAAAGGAGGCGCCTCTAAAACGACGTAATTTCTAGCACTGTATCGACATCGAATTTGGAATCTACGCACCCGATTTACCCAGGAAACAAGCTTCCATCTCGATCATAGACGCGCAACAGTTTTTGGATATTTTTTATTAGTCGTTTCTGGTTTATTTTTAAGACAACCCTCGTACATTTTAATACCCTAGTCTGTTTTAGAAAAACGTACGGTGAACTATCAAAGACGGTCGACTTTAACCACTTCTTATTAATCATTTTCAACGTAATACATCTGCCTTTCAATTTCCGTGACAATCTTCTGTAACACCGTGAATAATTTCACGGTAAACGACAAGAAAGCTGTTAGTAAAAGCGTGCCTTACCTTTCGGATTGAGCCTGTCTGGGTTAAACCATGCATCTGAAATAACAAAATTATGTTTGTTTAGTGTTAGTGCAATTAGAAATCCAGTGCGAATAGGCAAGCGGTGATCGTGGTACGTAAAAAAGAGGCAAGCTAAAACAAACGAAAAAAAAATTAATACAAGAAAAGCCCGTCAACAATGGATCAGATTCAACTTTATTTTCCATTTGACTGTACAATAGTCTAGGAAGTTGTCACACGAGAAAAAAGAATACAAAATGATGAAACAGCAAAAGCGTTAATCACAAACAAATGGCATAAAAGAAGCAGTCTAGTGAAAAGAGCCGATAGTTACGAACATGTTTGTAATTTGTCTTAAAAAAATTTCTCATTCCTATGTAATATGAGCATTATAACTGTTATTTAGTCTTGCTAAAGGGATATGCAGATTACACTGATCAACAGCCAAAAAATATCCTAAATAAAATCAACAAAATATTACTATTTTTAATGTGCTAAAACCGGAATGAAAGTTATTTTTTCAATATTAGTTCAAGTTTTAGAGATACGGTAATTATATGTGTTCCTGCTGTGACAGTGTTAATATACTGTAATTCACAAGAATGCACGTGCTACATTTTTATATTCGGCAAGGAAAGATGATGTAATCGGCATGATTGTGTTACGTTATACATACGTCTACATTATATTGTTTTATATTAGCCATTTTTTTCTCAGTTGGCTGACAGCGTTCATGCAAGATGTCTCGAAAGTGTGCAAACAATCCAGATCAGTTTTGTTACGTGTGTGGTGATGTGACTTTTGCGTCTCAGAGACGGTCTATTACTCCACTAATAACAAAGGCATATCAGCTTTATTTCGGTTGTAAACTAGGTGATCAAGACAAACAGTCTTCTGCTGTAATACATGTGCTTCAAGTCTGAGGAGCTGGTTAAATGGCAAAAAACGGTCTAAGCGCTTTGCTGTCCCAATGGTTTGGAGAGGGCCTACAAATCATATTAATGATTGTTACTTTTGCATGGTACCTTGTGTTGGACAAGCCACAGGTATGTCCAAGAAAAAAAAATCGGTTATTAACTACCCAAACATACCATCTGCGATGAGACCTGTGCCTCACAGTGACGAAAATCCTATTCCAAAACCCCCAGAGTCCTACACTTGCGAATCAGAAAACGAATCAGATCATGGCGATCGAGTGATTCGTCAGGAAGAAGATATGCCATCAACGTCAAGAGATCCTGATTTTATACCGAGCACGTCATGCCACCAACCGCACAAAATAACACAGTCAGAATTAAATAATCTTGTAAGAGATTTAGAACTTCCAAAATGTAACGCAGAGTTACTTGGATCAAGACTGCAGCAGTGGAACTTGTTAGAAGACGATGTTTCGGTATGTGTTTTTCGTAAACGCCACCATTTTTCAATATGGAGAATAACTTGGTTTTCTGCAGTAACATTAACGGCTTACTGGCGGCTTTAAATATAAACTATAACCCAGAAGAATGGAGATTGTTTATAGACAGTTCAACATTGAGTTTAAAGGCAGTGTTATTGCATATTGGAAATATTTTACCATCTCTTACTGTAGGGTATGCAGTTCACATGAAAGAATCATATGACAATATGAAGTACCTATTGACATGCATAAAATACGATGAGCACCAATGGCATATTTGTGGCGATTTGAAAGTTGTTGCACTTTTACTTGGGCTGCAGCTAGGCTACACAAAGTTTTGCTGTTTTTTGTGTGAATGGGACAGTCGGGCAAAGGCACTTCATTACACCAGACAAAACTGGCCTGTTCGTCAATTCCTAGAGCCAGGTCAAAAAATGTACAGCATATGGCATTAGTAGATTCAAAAAAAATTTTATTACCACCACTGCATATCAAGTTGGGCCTAATGAAAAACTTTGTCAATGCATTAGATAGAGATGGGTCAGCTTTTCAATACCTGCGTCAGAAATTTCCAAGACTAAGTGAGGCAAAGGTTAAAGAAGGTGTTTTTGTTGGGCCACAGATTCGAAATATTTTGAAAGATACACAGTTTGAAAACACTTTAACAGGTATTGAAAAAACTGCTTGGAATGATTTCCGTCTGGTGGTCACTAATTTCTTGGGAAATAGAAAAGCTGACAACTATAAAACCCTTGTCAAAAATATGCTGTCATCGTATCAAAAGATGGGCTGTAATATGTCTCTTAAAATACATTTCCTACACTCACACATGGACTTTTTTCCTGACAATTGCGGAGCCGTAAGTGATGAGCACGGCGAACGTTTTCATCAGGATATTTCAACAATGGAAAAAAGGTACCAGGGAAAGTGGAATCCTTCCATGCTTGCAGACTACTGTTGGACTCTTGGTAGAGATGCTCCAGAAACGATCCATAAAAGAACAGCAAAAAGACAGCGCATATAGTGATTCTTATAAGTATATGAATCTTGTTACTTTTTTTAATATATCCTTAAAAATAAAAAGTTTTTTTTCTAAACCGCAACTAATTTTTTTATTTCATTGTCATTTTTGGATTCAGCATCCCAAAATTAACAAAGAAGTGCACTTTTCCCACAAGATACAATTAAAAAACTAAAATTTGTTGTCCAGTGTAATTTTTACATCTATTATTCCAGATGAATATCATAGTTATTTTTGATTTTTTTAGATAGAAATACTGATATCATAAATGCAGAGATAGGCAATAGTAAAAGGTTAGAATCGGCGAAGTTTTGACTGTACTAAAATCAAACAAAGCATATAAACGCAGAAATACCCGCTACTATCATCGTATCTGTTCAAATAATGATGTACATTGTATCCCGGATATTGTGGGGTGGGTTATCGATTTATTGTTCAGAGAAGGAAGAGAATAGAGCTATAAAATATGTATGTATGTAAGGGCAATGAGCGATGTACAGCAGTGGACAAAAGTATATAGACAAATTAATATTGTGATGTATTTATTTTTTAACTTGTTTTATTAATACACCAACCTGTATATGTATATAATACTTATACATAAATAAATTCATTAGACTCCCTTCAATAAAAAATTAATTGAAAAAACTGGAACTATGAAGACAAAAGTATATAGACAAAGCAAAACAATTATAGAAAAACGAAGCAAAGTTCATTGAATTATAGAAAACCAACCATGTTTGTGTTAATATTTTGTAGCATAACCATTATTATCAATCACCGTCAGGCATAGATTGTAGAAGTTTCTTGATATAAGATTCATCAATCTGTCTCCACTTTTGCTCTAAAGCGGCAAAAAGTTCATCCTTGTTTGAATGATTTTAATCTCGTATTTGCTTATCTAAGTATTCCCATAGATTTTCAATGGGGTTTATATCGGGAGACTGTGAAGACCATTTGAGAACTGGTATTGTTTCATCCAGAAAGAATTTCTTTGCGAGATTTGAAGTGTGCTTCAGGTCATTATCTTGCTGGAAGATTGATCTTAAGGGCATATTGTCTTCCATATAGGATAACATGACATGCTTCAGTATGTCTGTGTATACAAACTTATCCATAATGCCATCTATTCCTTGTAAAGGTCCCATCCCAAACCTCGAAAAGCACCCCCAAACCATAACAGACCCGCCTCCATGTTTGACAGTGTACTTGGCGTTCAATCTTTGTCCACTAGGACGTCTAACGTAATGAACACCATCTGATCCAAACATATTGAACTTGGATTCGTCACTGAAACATACCCTCTTCCAGTCACAGATGCTCCAATCAAGATGCAACCGTGCAAATTGTAATCGGTCTTTACGGTTTGTCCTCCAGATTAGCGGCTTCTCGGGCGACGTGCAATTAACTTCATATCATTTAATCTCCTACTTATAGTTTTCGTAGAAACACTGACTCCTTTTGTCTCGATTTCGGCTTTTATTTGTCTAGGGGTTTTAAACGGATATTTGAACGAAATTGCTTTTATTAATCTAACTGATCTACAGTATATTCAGATAAGAGATAGACCGGATGTAAACAAAAGGTTCGGGTGATTTTCACGCTAACGCCGCCGTCTCGACGTAAAACAGGAGCCCTCATTGGTCAATTCGCAATTAAATGCCTATGCCGAGCGGCAGAGCAGTCGTATCAAGGCAGAGTCACATTCAGGTTCAGACGTGTTACGTATGTCGTGTGCATCATTGCAATTTGATATTTCTTTGGATGTTTTCGTTTGTTATCTTATTAAGTTGTTGAGTTTGTCGTTGTTATTGTTATACCTTGTTATTGATTGTTATTGTTATCAACTGCTTGCGCAAAATGCTCAGTAGTACAGATACTGCCGATGAAGTTGTAAACTCCTGTAGTCCACCTAGGAAACGCTCTAAAAAAAGACACCTGAGTGCAGAAATGAAAGAGGTCATTTTGAATATATATAAGATCGAGCGCGAGGAGAACGAGGCATCAACCATCAAAGAAATTGTTGTGAAGGTTTCTCACAAAGTTGGGGTGTGTCGCGCATCAGTGTTTAATGTGTTAAGACAATACAAAAAAAAAATCACACCTTTTCTGAGCCAATGACCAGTAAACATCGCAAAAGTATTGTTAAATCATTGGATGAAGCTGATAAGCATGCGATTAGGAGGAAAGTGCATGAATTCTTCTTTAGGAATGAAATACCTACTATAGATAAAGTACTGCAGGAGGTAAATGGAGATACAACGTTGCCAAATTTCAAACGATCAACTTTCCATGCGTTACTGAAGCATTTAAATTCTGTGGTGCTTTGAGTCTAAGAAAACTGGAGATTACCACGAGGAAAGGAATGGCGAATCGTTTGAACAGTAGTTTTCAAAAATTTTACCGAACTTAGAGGAAAACGCAGTAATTGTGTTGGATAATGCGCCTTATCATTCTCGAAGAATGGAGAAGGTCCCAACAACGGCTTCAAGGAAAGTTGATGTTCAAAATTGGCTCCGCTCGAAAAATATCAACTTTGAAGAAGCAATGCTGAAAGTACAATTATTAAGAATTGTCAAGGATCACAAGGCGGAATATCAAAAATACGCCATTGAC